CACGTAGAACGGAAATAATAAAATAATAAAAATAAAACCTAATCAGATAATTCTCACGACGTTTCGGCCACAAGGCAAGAAGCTGTCCTCGGGTGAAGACCAGGTCTGTTGGAGACGGCGTCTGAATGAAACACCACCACGCTTGGAACGTATATTTAAGCTGGGTTGGGAGGGGAAGAGCGCCTTGACAAAATAATTTGCATGTCAAGAGGAATTTAGCATATTTATGGAAAATGCAGATATGGGATTAGTACTAGTGAAATGGGTGAGAGGTGGGCAGGGGGGGTTTCCAAGTCCTATTATGCAGGCTTGGCAGCATCAAAGGGAAAGGATAGAGGTAGCATTAATAAAGGGAAGGAATGTTAATAGTATGTAGCTGCAGTAACTAAACAACCACGTAAAAAACTAAAATATAAACTACATGGTATCATCAGTATACTAAATATACTCTCCAATAAGCCGCGTTACTAACTGTAAGTAATACATTACAATTCTATGTCGCAAAAAATATAATATGCTTCCAGCTTAACTTTTTTCCCTTGCATCACACGGGTCTACGCCGTACTATATACTGCCATAGACAAACCCAACATTAAATTATATACTGTATTACTATACACTACCCTATACCTTAGAATAATACATAGTGTAATATTACACTATGTATTATTCTATCCACCCTGCTGTATATTCACTATACAATTAAAATGCTATATTACCTTGTACATTGTATTAAACATAATTTTATACTAATTATTATACAATCTGCTATACCATTTGACAGTCGTGTGAAAGATACTAAGAGGAAGCAACGAAATATGTCAATGGGAGAGTGGTAGTGGAAGACTTGCAGCGGAGCAAAGAATCCATTCCCTGCTGAGAATACAAGATATATAGTCATGCCAGTGAGTGGACTGTGGTCTGAAAGTCACCGTAAACGGGAACACAATCGGTTAGGATCCGTAGGTCAGTTTAAGATCGTGTAGGTAAGTTTAAACACCGTTTGGATTGTAAGAAGTAGTAGTCGTCAAGAAAGGGGTAGGTCTCTAATATAAAAACCGTTTATAAAGTTTGAAGTGGTCAGCAGCATGGGCAGTTGATGCTAATGTCCGTGTTTAATCGTGGAGGATGGTGCAAGTGGTGGGTTTCTACCAATTAAACTATCGCCAGGTATAAAATGGCACCATTACAGCCAGTTTATGGCTTAAAAGATTTCGATGGCCTTTTGTGTAAAGATTCTGTCCTAAAGGGGCAGCCACTGAGCCCTGCCCAGTGTAACTTGCATTATGAATCATGGAGGTGGGTGTACCCACACTTGCCCCAAGCACACGACCTTCTAATGGGCCAACTTGTGCAAGTTGTATACTATATTGATGCTGTTTTTTCATGAAATGCGTGCAGAAAACCCTTGGAACGTTCCCAGATGAACCTTTCCAGAATCCAGATGCCCTCAAGGCCATGCAAGAGTACCAATCCGACCTCGAGGTGATTACAAAATCCATTGTTGCAAGAAACGAGACTCTTCCAATGAAGTATCCCTACCTGAAACCTGACAAGGTGGCCAACAGCATCACCATCTAACTGATGGGGCTAACCTGAGGCTTGGATTTTCTGTGCTTGCCTTCCTTTTCCTTGTGCTGAGGGACCAAATCGCTTTGTTTTTCCTATGGAAGCTGCTTTAAAATGAGACTTTTCAATGCAATCTAAAATGTTTTCTAGTCTCTACCCTTCCTTGGCTTAAATGCACTTGACACTTGGGATTGAACAGGGTCTTGAAGACCCATGCTAAATATTTCATTGACAAATGTGCCACGATGATGAATTGTAAAATGTTGAAAGAAATCTGGCACTGACAATGAATTGCTGTGTTTTCACAACCTTGTTTGTACCTTGCACCGTCCACGTTACAAAAATAAAAATCTCAACCTGCATTCTACAGTATTGTGCGTTTTAGCTGTTTACCATGCAGCAGTAGGCTGTTCTGCCATCGCCTCGCCTGCCTCGATCTTCCTGGCTGTGGTCGTCCTCTTGCACTGGGGGTGCTCAACAAAAATGTACTAAACTGATAGTTCTCTGGCGTTTTATTGCTCCACGCTTTGGCACCAGAAATCCAGGAGACTCCGTTCACACATGGATTTATTGAATTGGCCTCCAGCACGAGTGGACCATCTGAAACGACCAAATAAGCCAACTTCATGCCCTATGCCTCCATATCCCTGTGCCACGCAGGGCCAATTCTAAAATCCACAACTACATGCAAACCTGCGTTTTGAACACACTTCCAAGGGGACGTTTTAAGCCCTCTGCTTTACCGTGTACTATAATTAAACAATACGAACTTAAAGGAACTTGTCACGCCTTATCACTAGCACGCGTCCATTGTTTATAACAGAACTCCCCTGTGCACTCAAACATGCCAATGCTAATAAAATAATATGTACGCAGCATGCTCCCACTTTCCCACAAATCCTGCCAGTTTATAGTATTCAAAATAAGTTGATCTCGTACCTGAAATGACCCCTTCAAGCCCGATGCCGCGCTCATCCCTGTGCGTATTGGATGTTTTGAATGCTTGGCACTTGCACCCAAAATAAACCTTTTTCAAACTTGCAACGAAACTTAATCTCACCTTCGTTGTATTGTCAAAATGACGAACAAACTTATTGAGGCACACGTTTGTCTTTCATTACAGGGTCCCTAGCATGAAGGGCATATCAGTCCCTTCACCTGAAACCGAGGTGCTTGGCCTCTGAACTTTACGGGCCCTAACTCTGCTCACCCGTTTCTATTGTCCTCTGGCTGGGACCTAGGGGAGGCTTCCTGACCTGGTCCGTGGGTCCTGATCACTGGCCTCACTGAGCTCCAACCCTTAGAAGGGCTGTAGAGCTTGGGGCCCAGGGTCCTATTCTCCAGCCCGGTCTTTGGCGTGTAGATAACTGAGCCAAAGCTCCCTGAGCTCTGGCTTGTATACACGTTCGTGGCTGGCTTTGCCCTAGCCACACCTTCATTCTGGAAGGTTATGTCATTCCCCCGGGGCCCAGGGAATGTGTCCTGAGGATCCGTTTACCAGGATCCACCGTTGGCCTTTCTGGCCCATGGCATTTACCCTGGCGAGGTAACGCCTCTGCACTCTATTGACAGTTGGTGGAACTGCAAGGTTGTTGAATGGTGAGTGACAATCACTCCTACAATTGTAAATGTTTCTGGGTAGTCACTAGTACTAAAATAACTTTATCCCCATCCATTATTTAGATTCTAGTAAATGTTATGGTTACAAGCTATGTTTTATGGAGGTCCCTCATTTGTCATCTCGCCTGCGCCACGCTGAGCCGATTCTAAAATCGGTAATGTAACACGCTGACTCGATCACAACGAATCGATTCGTAATTTCCACGTGAAATCTCTCCACATTGGTCATCACTTTAGCACTGTCAAAACTATAGTAAAAAATGGAGGTTATTATACTCAAGCGTGAAAATATGCACCATTTTACATTTACATAACCGCACAGGTTACACCTAGGGGTTTGCTTTGCCACTTTCAATGTGTCTTTGGCTGCATATTAGTCCCCAGCCATTCTGCATTTCCTAAGCCTAGTAATACTGCTGTAGTATCGGACTTCTTGACACCCAGGAGACCCGGGCGGGGGATCATCCATCACCACCCGGCGATGGTGAGACATCTACATCTATATACCCTAGGCGGTGGCTGAGATCTCGTCCATGCAGGCTCTCATTCCTCTCCCAACGGAGACCCCACCGTTGTCACGGGGTCCCCTTTAAGTACCCGTTGGTGGCTCCTCCCCCTAGCTCGGACCCGCCTTTGTTCCTGAAGTTACCCCCTTACAACACCCGTGACATCATCCTCCGCTGTCAACTCGCTCGCACTTCCCCGTGTACGCCCTCTCCTGGTTGCTCGCTCTACTCCTCTACATCCCTCCCTCTCCCTCCCCATGAAAAAAATCAGCCGTTCCAGCTGACTACGTCCCCTTATGAAAAAAATCTAGACGGCCCCTACGACAAGCAGCAAAAACGTCACAAAACAGCAACACACTATAACACTAAACCCCCTTAGATATCATCCATATAGCCACAATTTAACACCCCCCAACAACCCAAAAATGCAAAAAAAACTAGGAGGGAATGACCGTCTGCGAGGCAAACAATATCAGACAGCCAACGTCGAAAAAGTCCCTCCAAACAGTGTCCTGCTGTGCCCGTTACACTAACGGCGTCGGCCTGCTCCCCCCCGCAATCAGCAGGCCCCTCGCGCAGTGACAGTGCGCTCTCTGGCACGCCGGCTCATCCCACAAGCACAAAGCAGGCGGCCCCCCAGACTCCAGACGTCGGCAACCATCTCCTCGATCGCGGCTTCTCTAGCTCTCACACGTCCTTCCCCACTCTTCTCACTCCAATCGCGGGGAGAAATGCACATCCTGCTCGCAGTCGCAGGGCTCCAGCGACGATCCACCAGGCTGGCGCAGTGCAAAAGGCGCAAAAGGCGTGGCAGCCTGCAGCGAACACGCGGCGGCAGACACACAGCGGCGGCAATGGCGCCCGGTTGCTGTATCGCATCTTGGGAAAAAATGGCGCCCGGTTGCTGTGTTGCATTCAAAATGGCGCTCGGTTGCTGCGTCGCATTCGCGCGCCAAATGGCGGAAATGCTGCAGCCGCGGAAAATGGCGGGAACCGCCGCAGTGACTCGACGGCGGTCGCATCCTCCTGCAGCTCCACTGTCGACTCGCCAACACCCAGCCACTCCCTCGACGTCAGCAGCTGGTCGAATCGCCTGGCGATGTTGCCCCAGCTCTCCATAGATGGTGGCCAATCAGGGCCCACAGCCTCCTCCCGCGCAGGCTGCAGTTGCGCCCCCCCCTCCCTCCCGGGCACAACAACGGGGCCCTGGACCTCGGGGTCGTCGCGGGGAGAGCTCTGATGCAGCCCTCATAGTCCATCCGCTCCACTGGTTAGTTATTGCACTCCACTGCCGGCTTTTACGCGATGCCAGCGAAGGGTTTCAGCTTCCTTGAAACTAAGCAGTTCTACTCTTATGAAGGTTTGACGGCCACTTCCGACACCAGGAGACTTGTAGAACCGGACAAATATGAGGATTCTTACTTAAGGCTACACTCACTGGTTTTAACACTTTTTGCACTCGACACTTACACCCCTCATGGTGACATCAGAACTTTGTCCTAAGCAGACATCCCTTCAGCTATCTACACCCCGGTGCAGCTCCCCTTTGTCTACCCCCTCGTCTGCCTGGGTGGGGGTTCATCCATCGCCGACCAGCGATGAGGTGAGACCTCTACATCTCTCGCCCTTCTTCAATGGCTGGGATCTCGTCCACGCAGGCTCTCGTTCCTCTCCCAAAAGCGACGACTTCACTTTCCCTACGGCGACCCCGCTGTAGGGAAAGTGGGGGGAGAGGGGGCGGGGGATAAAGTGGGACCCCGTAGCAGCACCTGAGTGACATGGAGAGAAATCAAAAAAATTAACCCGTAAAAACTACGTTTTTCACTCTAAATCCTTTATATGCGTGGCGGCTAGAGTCTTCTCGTCCTCTGGCTTGAGATGGCTGCCACCTATGGGTCAGATGATTGTCTGCCAGCATTAAGCAATTGGTAATTAACTATTTTTAAAAAATTCCCTAAATAGTGTAAAATTTTGGAAAAAAATGTTCACGAAAATTAATTGTCACGCTCAACGAGTCTGTGTGGAAAATGTCAGCTCGATTGGATCACGGGAAGTGGGTTAAAAATTAACCCGTAAAAACTAAGTTTTTCACTATAAATCCTTTATATGCGTGGCGGCTAGAGTCCTCTCGTCCTCTGGCTTGAGATGGCTGCCACCTATGGGTCAGATGATTGTCTGCCAGCATTAAGCAATTGGTAATGAAATATTTTTTTAAAAAAAATCCCTAAACAGTGTAAAATTTTGGAAAAAAAATTTCACGAAAATTAATTGTCTGGCACAACGAGTCTGTGTGCAAAATGTCAGCTCGATTGGATCACGGGAAGTGGGTTTAAAAACGACCGAAAGATTTGCACGGTCGTAAGCAAGCAAGCAAGAACGCAAGCAAGCGAACTTAATATAAAGGATTTAAAAAACGACCGAAAGATTTGCACGGTCGTAAGCAAGCAAGCAAGCACGCAAGCACGCAAGCAAGCAAGCGAACTTAATATGAAGGATTTAATAAGTATAACCCGTAAAAACAAAGTTTTTCACTATAAATCCTTTACATGCGTGGCAGCGAACTTAATATAAAGGATTTTAAAAAATATTCGCCCGTGGAGGACGCGGGGGTCGATCCCGCGACCTTTGGCATGGGAAGCGAGGGCGCTACCAACTGCGCTACTCCGCCACGGCCTGCGGAGGGGTTACGCTCTGGGCTCTTATACTGTGACTATCAGCCAAAGCGATGAATGAGTTTTATTTGAATATATGTACAATAATTTTTTTTTGCCTAAAAAGTGTAAAATTTTGGGAATTTTTTTTCACGAACATTAATTGTCTGGCACAACGAGTCTGTGTGGAAAATGTCAGCTCGATTTGATCACGGGAAGTGGGTTAAAAAACGACCGAAAGATTTGCACGGTCGTAAGCAAGCAAGCAAGCATTGCAAGCAAGCAAGCACGCAAGCAAGCAAGCGAACTTAATATAAAGGATTTTAAAAAGAGGCGCAGAGATAGAGAAAGACACAAGGAGTCGGAAATAGCAGCTGGCATAGGCAGGTAGGATGGAAACATCACAGACTTTACCTGGTTAATAACGTCCTTCCAATGATTGCTCAGTCTGTACCCATCTTTTCAGTTGAAGTTGTGTCTGTGTTTATATATCTGGATGGCTTCATGAACAAATTTCTGATAATAGCCGGTGGGTTTGCAGAGTACCTTCATCTTGGAAAAGTCAATTTTGTGTGAGCCCACTGTGTTAAAACAATGATCAGCAACGGCAGAGGTATTGGTCCTACCGTGTTTCAGATCTGCCTTGTGTTCGTGAACGCGGTCCGAGACATGTCGTTTCGTTTCCCCAATGTAACTGCTGCCGCATCCACAACTCAGTTTGTAGACACCCGGGTATTGCATATCAGGAATCACATCCTTTACAGATAGGATAAAATCACAGATTTTGTGTACTGTGTTGAAACGAACTGTGATCTTGTGTTGGTTTAAGATTTTGTAAATATTTTTGGTAACCCCTGCTATGTACGGCAAAGTGATGGTATTGATTAGATCCTTAGATGTTTGTCTCCCCATGGCTGGGGAGACAGCTTTGCGGATTGTACGGTCCGGGTATCCGTTCATCCTGAGGGCTTGGTGTCCGTGCTTCAGCTCACTGGCTAGGTGATGCTGGTCAGAGATGCAACGGGCCCTATGGTGTAGTGTTTTGATGAGGGAATTATTCTGGGCTGGATGGTGGTGGGAGTCAGGCTTTAGATAGGCATCCGTGTGGGTGGCTTTCCTGTAGACAGAGTGTCCCAGCGAGCCATCAGGTCTCTTCTCGATCAAAACATCCAGGAATGGTAGCTTGTCATCCTTTTCAATTTCCATGGTGAATTTGATAGATGGGTGTATGGAATTTATGTGGTTGAGAAATTGGTTCAGTGCTGGCAGGCCATGTGGCTAGATGACAAATGTGTCATCTACGTATCTCTTCCACAAGGAAGGATGTAGGGTGGATGTCTGGATGGCATCTGTCTCAAATTTCTCCAATGATAACATTCGCTACCACTGGTACATCTGGATTCAGTCCCAATTAGACTAAGTCTCCAATGATTGCAATGGTATCAGGTACAGGTACCTTGGTGAACAGGGAGACTACATTGAAACTGACAAGTGAATCATCTGGAGACAGTGAGATGTGCTTGATTAGAGAAACCAAGTGATCTGAGTTAAGTAAAGTTGAGGTGGTCTTGTCCGTGAAAGGAAGCAGGGTCTCAGAGATAAATTGGGCCAGTTTGTAGGTGAGTTAATTGTGGAGATGATTGGACGGAGTGGGATACGTTCTTTGTGGATCTTTGGAAGGCCATAAAATCTGGGTGGTCTAGCGGCCGAAGGTTTTAGAGAGCGCTGCTTGTTCGAATCGATAAGAGAAGTCGAATTAGTGATTATATTGTTGGCAATTATTGGAAGGACGTTATTAACCAGGTAAAGTCTTAATTGACTGTGATGTTTTCATCCTATCTGCCTATGTCAGCTGTTATTTCCGACTCCTTGTGTCTCTCTCTGTACTTCTCTCGGATCTCTCCCCCAGTGACTGAGGTGCTACTACAAAGTCCCACTTTATGCCCTGCCCCCCCCCCTTCCCTTATCTCTCCCCCCTACCGCCGATGCCTATATAACCTCGTGCCACGGCAGCTCTTTCGCCTTCTTCAGCAGTTTTTTCTTGCCGTAGTTGTCTTACCTGATGACGATTGCTTGTGTTGTGATCAAAACGTTGTGATCTATTATTTTTCTACCTACGTGACTTTACCGAAAGAACCAAAGAGTATGGTGTTATTGTGTTGTGCTATTCAATTGGAAGGTGCAGAATGGCTGACTTCGAGCTTAATTGTAAGGTGATGCCACAGCGACGAAGCCAATCTTCCGGCGCCGCGCCCGCGATGCCAACACAACAAAGCAGCTTAGCCGACGCTGCTCTTCCCTCACCACCCACCACATGAACACACACACCCCCAAATAGGGCCTCGTGTGGAGGTCACCTGGCCTACAGGTTTTCACCCAGGAGTCATCCTCGTGGGAACATTCGCCACAGTTTCCTGGGGCCAGGGAATTGGGCGATCTTCCCCGAGGTTAAATTTTACCACGGTGCCGTGAATTGACTTGCAATGACATAGTCACGGCGGGGCCACGCAGCCACCGCGGTTAGGACACACACAGCATGGCAAGCAGGGGGGCGGGGCCACAAACTACGGGACGAGCGCGAACGTGTTCGAGGGCGACCAACAACGCCGCAGCCAAATAGAACCCTTTGGATATGGAAAAAGATCAGCCAATGGTTTCGAGCAGGGCGGGAGGAGCCTAAACGATCCGATTGGCCGGGAGGACCGCCGGCTTAGCCGAGATTAACGGTGGCTCCCTTTGATATGGAAACCGGGAGATGGACGTCGCTGAGAGCACCGATATGAATGATGTGACATCACAAGCAAGCAATCTGATTGGCCGAGAAAACCGCCAGATTAACCGGAGGGTTCCTTTGATGTAGAGAACAATAAAAGGGGAGGAGAGAGGGCTCGATTTAGTTCGTGTCCTTCACAATTCAGCTATCGGTCGACTCTCCAGCTACTCGAACGTCCGTGTGACGAGTCGCAGTGCAGTGAGGACTGGCCCGCAGGAACTCCGTACGAATCAAACCGTGAGTACGAGAGAGATAGCGAACAGAATGAGAATCCCTCGAGAGAGTAACTTGAAATAGGCGGGGTGGATTGGGTTCAGACTGTCAAGAGACAGAGCAGTTTCCTCACCGATTGTAGCTCTTGGGCACGTAGGCTTAACCGCAGGCACGCCGGCAATAAACCGTTAGTGAGCACTCACCGTTTCGTGTGGTTTCTGCGAGTGTGGGGAGAATGCGTGTGATTGGTGCGCGTTTTCGTGGGAGGGGAGACGTCGTGCTTGTGCGGCTCTGCGAGTGTGAGTGTCGTCGCTGCCCTTCGACCCCTGACCTCCGCTCCGCTCCGTGTGATTAATACGCGTTGTCGTGAGAACATACAACATCGTGTTTGAGTGGCTGCGCGTGTATGAGGGTGGGCAGCAACGCGCAGGGAGTCCCCTAATAAGATTTGGAGGAGTGCACGGGGAGAGTGAGGAATTAATTCCAGGTGGTTGAGCACCCGCCGCGAGTTATGCCTCACAGAGAGGACCCGGAGATGGCGGGGCCGTGAACTCGAGGGGCCGTGGCGTGAGAAGGGGAGTCGGGGAGTAGCAGCGACTCTCACGCGATTGAGGAGTCGGGGGGTAGCAGCCCCCCCCCCCGAGGTCAACCCTCCCACGGGGCAGGAGCCGGGGGCCAGCAGCCCCCACAGTAACATTGAGCTGATGGAGTGAGCTGGGCAGTTGTTTTGGCTGAGTTTTCAATCCTCATTGGGGTTATAATAAATACTTGTTTCATATGTTTATTGTCCGTAAATAATTATTTTCTCAATTATACATTTTGTTCATTTAATTTGATATTAAAATTGTATTAAGAATTATTTAAGTATGTCGTTTATGCAGAATTATCAGAGGCTGTAAAAAGTGCAACAGATGTTTGGGGCAGATGTTTGATATTAGATATTAAAATGTTTCTCGTGAAATGTTTGTTAAATAATATGTTGTTAAATGTTCAATATGATCACCATAATTGCGATTTGGGTGGGACTAGATGCCGAGGAATTCAGCTGCGGTGTTGTGGCATGGAGGGTGTCTCTGATCGCTATTGCAGAGACGCAATTGTCCTTCTGAAGAAGACTTTTGAAATAAACTCTTGCCGTTTCACAAACCCTCGGTGCCCGGCTCGTTGTGGAGTCGCCCACATCTCTGGAGGACAGAGCACAACGCAGAGTCTCTACTCATCGCCTCCAAACTTTATTATTTTTATTGTTGTCTATTTAGCCGACCTGTCCCCTCTCGCAAGTATTCACGACTGAAGGAAAGGGGTCAGGGCTGACCGGTTACATACGTTACAATAAATACGGTAAAAATTTTAAGTAAGATTTTTTGTTTGTCTATTTGTACGTTCATGGCAATTTCATCTAGTAAATAAAATAAATAAAAACTATGCATACTGTACACAACACCTTAAACAATATAAAGCAAAAAATGTGCTAAAAATGCTTTTACATAATGATGTCATGCGGCGTTTGTGAAAATCCGGCGCCATCTTCCCACCCAAAGCTGCATTACGATACACACCAGGCGTCTCCATGCAAGTGATGTCGAAATTGGAGAAATTGCTTTGTTGAGCAAAAAATGGCCCCTTGATTTCAATAAAAAAAAGCCTCCCACATAATATGAGAAAAAAGTGTTGCTGCCTGACTGGCTGACACGAGTGAATAAGTGCGTGGTGATTGTGACGTCACCGTGTACATCTGCGTGATGACGCCACCCGCATCCCACGTGCTGAGCCGGGCTTCGTGCGTGCCCATGGGAAGCCGCCCCCTCCACCCTCGCCCCTCCCTCCACCCTCGCCCCTCCCTCCACCCTCGCCCCTCCCTCCACCCTCGCCCCTCCCTCTACCCTCGCCCCTCCCTCTACCCTCGCCCCTCCCTCCAACCTGTTCGTGAATCCCACGCATATTCTCGGACCAGTGGTTACTAAAATGAAGTCAGGATCTGCCCTCTTAAAATAAATGTCCCGTGATGCAACCCCGAGCCGCTAGTGGGAATGATATGAACATATTTAACACTCGCAAGGCCAGACACAAAACCACTGCCACCTGCCAGTTAAATAATCTCGTTTTCTGAGTTGTCAAAACTGGAGCTCAATTATAGTACCGTGATGAGTCAATAGATGAGTTGGATTCATTTGTCCACGTGCACTTCTCCTTACACGATACACTGATTACTATTATATTGTGACGAGTCAATTGATATTGTGTTCCTGTTGTCAGTTGATAAGTGGATTCATTTGTCCACGTGCACTCCTACTTACATTATTCACTGATCACGATTGTTTGATTGTACTGCCGAAATTATAGGAATATTGGACACGCCCCACATTAACGATTTCCCGGCTGTGCTCTTCCAGTCCTAAGGATATAAAAGCAGGTTCGTCAGCATGGGGCAGTGAGTAGTGCATCATTGTGTGGTGTTGTTGTTCACTGGTCTGGTTGTAGCGGCCAGTCTTTTTGTTTGCCTGCCGTTGTGTGGAAGCGTCATCATGCTGGAATGCTTAGCAGGTTTGTCTGAAACTCCCCTTTTTCAATGTTAACCGTCTTGTCTTTTGCTAGTCGTATTCAAAGTGTATCTTAACAAGGTGCTTTGGTTCCTTAAATTCGCTGGGCGTGGAATATCTTACTCTACCTGTACTTTTACAATGCGAGTGTGTAGATCGCCAATTATTATGAAGACATGGGCCTGTAATTTATATTAACAATGTTTATTACGTACTCGGTGGCAAAAACACGCTGCACGCAAATTCGTACTGGTATGAACCACCTCGTTCCACCAGCCCACAGGGGATTATTGTGTCCGTCCGTCGTGCATCCAAAAATGGGTGGGGGGTGGGAGGGGCTGGTCACCCCGTGGTGCCCTTATAAAACTCAACGTTTAACCTACTCACGCCGGCTTGTACCCACCCTCAGTCGACCATATTTGCGGAATACACCACGCTGCTGTTGACCCTGACCATTGACCGACCAACCCAACGTTCCTACCAGCTCCCTCCGCAGGAATGTGTATTTTAGGTCCGCTTAAGTGGTCCTGTGGGCCTGTTTGTTTATCCCTGATTCGTGAAGTAAAAGTGCTTTTTCGAGTTTGTTTACCATGATGTAGACTCCTCCATAACCAATGGCAGATCTCTGGATGTACTAGTGTGTAAAGCTGTTGCAGGGTTTGCCCCTTTGTAAAATGCTCTACCCCCACCTTGCTGTGCTGCAGGACACGTGGAGACTGTGTACAAGCTGACGGTTGCCACGGGCGAAACGCTGTTGTCGGGCACCATGAACTACGTGTATGCAACGATCATTGGCTCGGCAGGCCAGAGCAATAGGCAGCTTCTGGACCACTTTGGACCGGACCTTTGCCCTGGGGCGGTGAGTGTCGCTTCGTCGTGTCTAATGGCTTTGAGTAATGGGTACTACACAATCGGCTTGCTCAGTCCTAGCTTCTGATTGAATTGCCTGACAAGTGCCAGATCTTGCATGCTGAGGAGGTTGACCCTGGGTAGTGCTGGAATGACCACCATGCAAAAAGGTTGTGGAATGGGCTGCAGGGATTGGTAGGCAACTGCTGAGAGCAGTCGAAGTGAATGTGTGCTAAAGTTCTGCTGTTGAAAGTGGCATGAATCGAACATGTACCATCTTGATCATGTGGTTCTGATGTATGCAGTGTTGCCTTGGTGATTTTTGGCTAGTTAGGGTGGGGGGGATTGCTGGAAAGTCTGTTCTTTTTAATATCTTTGCGTACTACGTGGTGTGCATGTTCAATTTTACGCAAAATGACTCTCATCAAAGATTTGGCTTTCCTACATCTAGAATGCTTTTGTTAACCATTTCCTTTTTTTCCCCTGCCAGATTGACATCTACAGTATTCCAAGCAAGCTTGACATTGGCGACATCCGAATGGTTCGTCTGGAGAAGGAGGCGTTCCTGGTGAACGACTCCTGGTTCTGCCGCTACGTGGAGGTCAATGCTCCGGGTGGCCGGGTGCACCGCTTCCCTGCGAACCACTGGCTCGAGCAGGGCTCCATGGAGCTGCGGGAGGGGACTGGTGAGATGTGGCAATCGGCTGTTCTCCATTTTTGGATGGAGATGGTGCAATTCGATTAAATGCTCATGGCCTACCAGCATCATCTAGCACAGGTTCCTTGTACTTTTTGTAGGTGACACGTGTCCCCTGCATGATCCCTTTAACTGATTTCCCACAATTCCATCGCGGTTGTGCTATCGGCTAGTGGTAATATGAAGCCAAATTTTGAATCCCCCCCCCCCCCCCCCCCTCTAGTGAAAATTGTGCATGTGAAACTTCCTCCCTGAAGTCGGCAAAATCACGATTTGTCTTTTTCGGGCCTTTTCAAATGCTGTGCATATGGCCATCCAAGACCTCTCCTTCCCAAGTGATCCTTAATTCCAGAGCGCAATGGTTCTCTCCCACTATACAATGCTCCTTAATGTAATTATAAAAACCTAAAATTTTACTTTGCAAGTTGGGTACGTGCAACTAATGGTGTTGGGGCTACCAGATGCGTGTTTTGCACTTGCTTCCACCCTTCCCATTGCAGGAATGTTGCCACAGCACGAGACCTTGGCTCAACTGAAGGAAAAGAGGGCTGACGAATTGTCCGAGAGACGGGCCTCCTTGAGGTGTGAGGCACAAGTTCTTCACGGTCTCGTGCTTTGCTAACCTATGATCCATTTAAATTGCTTTGCAAGTTGTTACGAAATGAGATGCTAGGCTTCATTTCTTCCTTTTCCAAAAATGATCTAGAAACAACCCAAGGGTAGTGGGAATTGTCCACTCGCTTATGGGTAGTTCAGGATGCTTAGAAGTGGAACTACGTTGTCCACCGTTTCTTTTAGATTGTGTGCTGTTAATCTGACCATCCTAATTTATTTTATTGCACTTTCGGTTCTGGGATCATGCGCGTTTGCCCCTTTTTATTATTTGGTCAGCTGCTGATTACAAAAATAATCTAAATATATTTTGCCACCCATATTGTAGTGAGAAGTGTGTATACCAAAAACTCTGGCTTTGACACCGTAAATATTGTGACGTGCTTTTGATTTTCGGCAGGTGGCTAGAATGGCATGCTGGGCTTCCCCTTGGAGTCGACAGCAAATCGTTCCTTGACTTGCCCCGCGACACCCGTTTTGATGATGAGAAAAGTGCCGATTTCAACTTGTCTTTTCTGCAAAGGTAAAGCCACATTTGCTGGCCATATGACTGTTACTGTTCTGTTGGACATGTTGCTAGCTTTGAATTCTGTTTAAATGTCCTTGACCTGTGACTGCACTTGTACTTGTCGTTTAGTGTGCAAGATTTGGGTTTGAGGGTGTTCATGAACCTCGATGGAATGTCTTGGACGAAAATAGAAGACTTCCGTCGCTTGTTTACACGGGTCAAGAGTAACGTTGCAGGTGTGTACAGAGGGTGGTGTGGTTTTGAATGGTCAAACTAGGCCTAGGGGTTAACTCCATAATAGTGTAGTAGCACGACACTTCTGTATGGGGGCTGTAGGGACACGTGACCAGATAAAGGTGGGCCAGGGGAGTCACGTGGTTGGGTTCGGGCCTACCCGAAGGATTGGGAAGGGGGGCATGGCCTAGCGTAGAGACGGCCACGCTGGAGTGATCATGGGTGAAGTGTGGATAGAGCTGGGGCTATGCTGCTGGTTCGTCTCCTGGGATGAAGCTCTCCGGACTCTGCTAGTGGACCTAGGCAGCATTGGGCTGTCCTGGTCCAGTAATGTAGCATCCCCGTGTGTTAACTTATGAAAGGTTACTTAAAAAATTGTGGTGCTGCCAAGGTTCCAGTGTAGCCTGCATTTAACCCACTACACGTGCAAGGCATCTAAGATCCAATCCTCTTAGTGTCTCCTAATTTGTGCAAGTTCAAAAGATGGCAGTGGAATATAACCGCTCCACACCATCCCCTCCATGAGCTTGCCATACACTTTTTTAATTGCTTTGCTTGACTCGATTTTAATTAAATGGTGTGCCGGTGCTTCTGGCTGGTACATGTACACAACTAGTGATCTGCGGTTTAAATGGCAGCCCTGTATGTGGCGTCTGTTCCACGTCTTTCTGCGATCTCCCGTTATGCAGAGTACGTTTCTCACCACTGGGATCAGGACTGGTTCTTTGGTTACCAATTCATGAACGGAGTCAACCCTGTTCTCATCAAACGCTGCACCAAACTTCCTGAGAATTTCCCTGTCACCACAAACATGGTGAAGAGCAGCCTGGTCCGTGAATGCTCCCTTGAAGACGAGATCAAGGTGCTGTTAAGATCTTGCATTGCTTTCACTCGAAACATGTCTAGTAACCTTGTGCAGGCCACAGCTTCATAAGCTCATCACTGCAGTAGTGACCTGTGTGATTGCCTTGTGTGTGCATATTCACAGCATGGAAATGTCTACATTGTGGACTACCAATGCCTTGATGGCATTCCTGGCAATACATTCAACCATTCCAAGCCCTTCTACCTGGCAGCTCCCATGTGCCTGCTTTACGTCAACAAACAGGGGCAGCTGCTGCCTATTGCTATACAGGCAAGTTGTGTGTTTTGCAATCGTACTACATCCTTGCAATGGTTACTTTTGCTGTCAACAGGGCACATATCAGACGTACTCCTGCCCCAGATGGCATTAGCTCGCCCCTTGCCAGTTTTGTTATGAAATTATGGCATTCGTGCATTAGTTTGCGTTAGTATAGACCAAGTTGAGCTATCTCTTCATCCAGAGTACGATAAGTCGTGGGTGCTTTGTATGACCTTTGGCACGTACATGGCCAACCGTATTGCTAATAAACAAAGCAGTTAAAATGAAACGTATAGATCTCGTCTTTACAAAATAAGAATCCGTTTCAGTAGGCAACAGGTACACTTTTCGTTCTAGCAACCATGCAGTACATGACACGAAGTAAACATCAGAAATAAAAATATTCGACAAACAACTGCATCTTGGGTTCCAATGTAACAATACTGCTCTTCCTATCGTGCATCCATAGCTACAGCAAAAGCCATCGGACAACCCCATCTTCTTGCCGAGCGACTCTGCACACGACTGGATGCTGGCCAAGATGTGGGTTCGTTCCATGGACTTTCAGATCCATGAGGTCTCCACCCACTTGCTCCAGACCCACCTGCTGGCCGAGGTGTTCACCATGGCCACCTTGCGACAGCTGTCTACAATGCACCCTGTTCATAAGGTGAATCTATGGTTTTTAGCCTGGAGTTTATCACATGGGCAACTCGTAATTACAAAAATTGTCCGCTGCTAGCTTGTATTTTTAAGATGCATGCGGTGTTATTTGCCATCCTGGCAGCCCTTGCACTGCCCGTTAACCAACGGCTTCGTAGGGACATTTAATCTCTTAATTCTAAGATCTTGCCCAATACGTTGGTCATTTTTGGAAATGATATTTTTTACAATTGTGGGTTATCGAACCATTCTTCCAGAATACGATTATCAATACTGCTCTTTTAAAGTTACTCGCCTTTACCAAAAGTAGATTACAAGGTGCGCAACCATATGCATACCACCAAAATCATCCAGATGCAAACAATACGAAATTACTTATGCACAAGACTTGCCCTTTCCTTTAAGAACTTGAGACTGCATGCTTAAAGCTACAGCAAGTACACATTAAGCCTATTGCCGTCCAATACACATTATGATTACATTTTTCCGACCTGCTTGTGCATAGCTCCTGTATCGGCACCTGCGCTTCACCCTGGAAATCAACGTGCGTGCACGGACGCAGCTTGTGGGCACAGGAGCCTTTTTGGATCAGGTGAGGGTTGTGATTTCACGAGCCTTTGAAATGAAGTGGCCATTTTAATCCACGACAGCAAAGCCTCCTCAGCATTCTTGCAAACCAACAATCTTACTGCCCGAGCTGATTTTAGCCAATGCTTCCATGGCCTCTCATGCATTCCATTGTTTAGCTGCATAATTAACTCCCGCTTCAATCCATTACAGGGCCTCATCCCGCCCAGTCTTTCCAATGCATTCTGACATTTTGATCACTCTTATCATCCTAAAATACCACGCATCTACCTGTTATTCTCTGCACGTTTCCAAATTGTCCTAGGTATGCTCTACTAGCAAGTACTTCAACCTGCCTCACTATTTAATTAGCGTTTTGCAGTCCTAGATCTTTATTTGCTTTGTCCCTACACTGGCTATACCTCTAGTTAATAGCGAGGATGTGACCTTGTTTCCACTGGTCTCTGATGCAACCTTTTTACACTTCCATTAAATTAACATTTCATGCCAAATGGTTAATCTCTCCCTCCCTATTGACCATCCTATTCCATCTCAATACACTTCTAAAACTGACACAACTTTGAAGGTTCCCACCTTCTTAGGCTCCTTGGCATTACCATGCATAGTGGCACATCCAAATACTGCAGTGTCTTTCAACGGTGAAGCTTCCAATGACACGATCTTGCAATGTACTTGTGCAGGCCCTGTCAATTGGGGGCGGTGGCCATTTCAAGCTGGGCGCCAAGGGCTTGAAGGCGCTCACCTACAGACATCTGTGCATCCTAAAGGATGTGGCAGATCGAGGCGTTGGTGACTTGCCCAGCTACTACTACAGGGATGACGCTTGCACCATTTGGAAGACCATTCACAAGTAACCAAAACCATACTCTACGCTGGTGGTTTTGTGCATTTTTCTGTGCAGAACGATGAAAGCGATATTGGCAGGCATGTGCAACCTACTTGCAAGAGCAGTTCGGATACCAATTTTTCATAATAGGTCCAATTTATGAGTTGACACCACTTTGGTTTAACTTCCTTTCCTCCGTTCAAGATGAGTGATCCAATAAATGCTGCCTTCCCCAGGGTGGATGTATTCCCCAACTTGGTATGTTTATCCTAGGAATGGTACAGGGAGCTTTTAACACGCGCACGATTCTAAAATTGACATTTTTTACTGGACTTAATTTAGGACCAGAAAGGTCACTTCATTTCCTGTAGCATTCGTCTTTATAACTGAAAGTGCTGTTGCATTGTCCAGATTTGTCGACAAAATCCTTGCCATCTTCTACAAGAGTAACGAAGATGTGACGGGTGACACTGAGCTTCAGGCTTTCATTGATGACATCAACCATGCCTTGCTGAGCCACCCATCCAATGGTGAGTGTCCTAGCACTGCTGCTGGAGGAAGGGATTTTGGTGTTTGCATGCTGGCCAGACCAGAGTGGAAATGCATTACCACACCAGGTTGTGACCGGACTTAAGCCGACTGTATCCTGCTATTGCTGGCCACACACTGTTAAAGGCGTGCCCATGACTCGCCAGGAACTTGCAGGCAACAATAGATGGCACGTCATGTGCTAACAAAGTCACATGACCTGCATACACTTTATTATTTTGGCCCATGGACCACTGGCAATGCAAAAGTTTCGGTGAACCCCCAACCCGGATTACAAAACATTAAATTGTCAATGCCAGTAACACACTTCATTGCCGACACTTATTCATGTAGCTATTCGCATTTTTTAACGACATTTAGATTGTGGTAGTTTACATTAGGATATACTCGCTTTCATATCACGTTCTGTTCATTTCTGGATCAGTATATAGAACACTGGTCCCCTGAACCAGGCCACAAATCACTGCTCTAGGCAATGGGCTAGACTCGACTCTTACAATTTCTAAAAACGATGGGGAATTCGAGCTTGCATGTTTTTGCTGGCCAAGCATTGTGTTTGCAACAACTTAACGGCTTGCTGCTACTTTAACATTGTTTCTGTGCTGCAGGATTTCCTACCAAGTTCACCTGTGTGGCAGAGTTGAGTGAATTCCTCACCATGGTAGTGTTCCTCTGCTCTGCCCAGCACTCTGCCGTGAACTATGGCCAGGTAACGTAAATTTAGATGCTTAACGAAAGCCCTTGCAAAATGGTATTCGGTTTATTGCTGACTTGGTCTAGTGAAAAAATGCTCTTCCCACCCCTGTGCTGCAGTTTGACTTCTATGCATGGATCCCAAATGCACCCAGTGCCATGAGGAAACCACCTCCAACCACCAAGGGTGTGGTGGACATGCCCTTCATCCTGCAGACGCTGCCTGATGTGCAGGTGTCTTGCTCGTCCATGGCCATGACCTGGGTGCTTAGCCGCAGTGCTGCAGAGGTAGGTGCTTTCTACTGCCTTTGCAATTTGTATTAAGGTTATGACGGCCTAAATATTGACTTGAAACTTTTGTGACTGCAGGAGTTTCTGTTCTTTGGGTCTTGATGAAGTCGTGTAGGTAATCTTCTTGGTTCTTTCGGTAAAGTCACGTAGAAGGGAAATAATAAAATAATAAAAATAAAGCCTATTCAAATTATTCTCACGACGTTTTGGCCACAAGGCAAGCAGCCGTCCTCAGGTGAAGACCAGGTCCGTCGGAGACGGCGTCTGAATGAAACACCACCACGCTTGGAATGTATTTAAGCTGGGTTGGGAGGGTAAGAGCGCCTTGACAAAAGAATTTGCATGTCCAAGAGGAATTTAGCATATTTATGGAAAATGCAGATATGGGATTAGTACTAGTGAAATGCGTAAGAGGTGGGCAGGGGGGGGGGGGGGTTTCAAAGTCATATTATGCAGGATTAGCAGCATCAAAGGGAGGGGATGGAGGTAGCATTAATAAAGGGAAGGAATGTTAATAGTATGTAGCTGCAGTAACTAAACAACCACGTAAAAAACTAAAGTGTAAACTACATGGTATCATCAGTATACTAAATATACTCTCCAATAAGCTGAGTTACTGACTGTGTAATACATTACAATTCTATGTCGCAAAAAATATAATATGCTTTCAGCTAAACTTTTTTCCCTTGCATCACACGGGGCTACCCCGTACTATATACTGCCATAGACAAACCCAACATTAAATTATATACTGTATTACTATACAACACCCTATACCTTAGAATAATACATAGTGTAATATTACACTATGTATTATTCTATCCACCCTGCTGTATATTCACTATACAATTAAAATGCTATATATTACCTTGTACATTGTATTAAACATAATTTTATACTATTTATTATTATACAATCTGCTATACCATTTGACAGTCGTGTGAAAGATACTAAGAGGAAGCAACGAAATATGTCAATGGGAGAGTGGTAGTGGAAGACTTGCAGCGGAGCAAAGAATCCATTCTCTGCTGAGAATACAAGATATATAGTCATGCCAGTGAGTGGACTGTGGTCTGAAAGTCACCGTAAACGGGAACACAATCGGTTAGGATCCGTAGGTCAGTTTAAGATCGTGTAGGTAAGTTTAAACACCGTTTGGATTGTAAGAAGTAGTAGTCGTCAAGAAAGGGGTAGGTCTCTAATATAAAAACCGTTTATAAAGTTTGAAGTGGTCAGCAGCATGGGCAGTTGATGCTAATGTCCGTGTTTAATCGTGGAGGATGGTGCAAGTGGTGGGTTTCTACCAATTAAACTATCGCCAGGTATAAAATGGCACCATTACAGCCAGTTTATGGCTTAAAAGATTTCGATGGCCTTTTGTGTAAAGATTCTGTCCTAAAGGGGCAGCCACTGAGCCCTGCCCAGTGTAACTTGCATTATGAATCATGGAGGTGGGTGTACCCACACTTGCCCCAAGCACACGACCTTCTAATGGGCCAACTTGTGCAAGTTGTATACTATATTGATGCTGTTTTTTCATGAAATGCGTGCAGAAAACCCTTGGAACGTTCCCAGATGAACCTTTCCAGAATCCAGATGCCCTCAAGGCCATGCAAGAGTACCAATCCGACCTCGAGGTGATTACAAAATCCATTGTTGCAAGAAACGAGACTCTTCCAATGAAGTATCCCTACCTGAAACCTGACAAGGTGGCCAACAGCATCACCATCTAACTGATGGGGCTAACCTGAGGCTTGGATTTTCTGTGCTTGCCTTCCTTTTCCTTGTGCTGAGGGACCAAATCGCTTTGTTTTTCCTATGGAAGCTGCTTTAAAATGAGACTTTTCAATGCAATCTAAAATGTTTTCTAGTCTCTACCCTTCCTTGGCTTAAATGCACTTGACACTTGGGATTGAACAGGGTCTTGAAGACCCATGCTAAATATTTCATTGACAAATGTGCCACGATGATGAATTGTAAAATGTTGAAAGAAATCTGGCACTGACAATGAATTGCTGTGTTTTCACAACCTTGTTTGTACCTTGCACCGTCCACGTTACAAAAATAAAAAATCTCAACCTGCATTCTACAGTATTGTGCGTTTTAGCTGTTTACCATGCAGCAGTAGGCTGTTCTGCCATCGCCTCGCCTGCCTCGATCTTCCTGGCTGTGGTCGTCCTCTTGCACTGGGGGTGCTCAACAAAAATGTACTAAACTGATAGTTCTCTGGCGTTTTATTGCTCCACGCTTTGGCACCAGAAATCCAGGAGACTCCGTTCACACATGGATTTATTGACTTGGCCTCCAGCACGAGTGGACCATCTGAAACGACCAAATAAGCCAACTTCATGCCCTATGCCTCCATATCCCTGTGCCACGCAGGGCCAATTCTAAAATCCACAACTACATGCAAACCTGCGTTTTGAACACGCTTCCAAGGGGACGTTTTAAGCCCTCTGCTTTACCGTGTAATATAATTAAACAATACGAACTTGAAGGAACTTGTCACGCCTTATCACTAGCACGCGTCCATTGTTTATAACAGAACTCCCCTGTGCACTCAAACATGCCAATGCTAATAAAATAATATGTACGCAGCATGCTCCCACTTTCCCACAAATCCTGCCAGTTTATAGTATTCAAAATAAATTGATCTCGTACCTGAAATGACCCCTTCAAGCCCGATGCCGCGCTCATCCCTGTGCGTATTGGATGTTTTGAATGCTTGGCACTTGCACCCAAAATTAACCTTTTTCAAGCTTGCAACGAAACTTAATCTCACCTTCGTTGTCTTGTCAAAATGACGAACAAATTTATTTTGAGGCACACGTTGTTTGTCTTTCATTACAGGGTCCCTAGCATGAAGGGTATATCAGTCCCTTCACCTGAAACCGAGGTGCTTGGCCTCTGAACTTTACGGGACCTAACTCTGCTCACCCGTTTCTATTGTCCTCTGGCTGGGACCTAGGGGAGGCTTCCTGACCTGGTCCGTGGGTCCTGATCACTGGCCTCACTGAGCTCCAACCCTTAGAAGGGCTGTAGAGCTTGGGGCCCAGGGTCCTATTCTCCAGCCCAGTCTTTGGCGTGTAGATAACTGAGCCAAAGCTCCCTGAGCTCTGGCTTGTATACACGTTCGTGGCTGGCTTTGCCCTAGCCACACCTTCATTCTGGAAGGTTATGTCATTCCCCCGGGGCCCAGGGAATGTGTCCTGAGGATCCGTTTACCAGGATCCACCGTTGGCCTTTCTGGCCCATGGCATTTGCCCTGGCGAGGTAACGCCTCTGCACTCTATTGACAGTTGGTGGAACTGCAAGGTTGTTGAATGGTGAGTGACAATCACTCCTACAATTGTAAATGTTTCTGGGTAGTCACTAGTACTAAAATAACTTTATCCCCATCCATTATTTAGATTCTAGTAAATGTTATGGTTACAAGCTATGTTTTATGGAGGTCCCTCATTTGTCATCTCGCCTGCGCCACGCTGAGCCGATTCTAAAATCGGTAATGTAACACGCTGACTCGATCACAACGAATCGATTCGTAATTTCCACGTGAAATCTCTCCACATTGGTCATCACTTTAGCACTGTCAAAACTATAGTAAAAAAATGGAGGTTATTATACTCAAGCGTGAAAATATGCACCATTTTACATTTACATAACCGCACAGGTTACACCTAGGGGTTTGCTTTGCCACTTTCAATGTGTCTTTGGCTGCATATTAGTCCCCAGCCATTCTGCATTTCCTAAGCCTAGTAATACTACTGTAGTATCGGACTTCTTGACACCCAGGAGACCCGGGCGGGGGATCATCCATCACCACCCGGCGATGGTGAGACATCTACATCTATATACCCTAGGCGGTGGCTGAGATCTCGTCCATGCAGGCTCTCATTCCTCTCCCAACGGAGACCCCACCGTTGTCACGGGGTCCCCTTTAAGTACCCGTTGGTGGCTCCTCCCCCTAGCTCGGACCCGCCTTTGTTCCTGAAGTTACCCCCTTACAACACCCGTGACATCATCCTCCGCTGTCAACTCGCTCGCACTTCCCCGTGTACGCCCTCTCCTGGTTGCTCGCTCTACTCCTCTACATCCCTCCCTCTCCCTCCCCATGAAAAAAATCAGCCGTTCCAGCTGACTACGTCCCCTTATGAAAAAAATCTAGACGGCCCCTACGACAAGCAGCAAAAACGTCACAAAACAGCAACACACTATAACACTAAACCCCCTTAGATATCATCCATATAGCCACAATTTAACACCCCCCAACAACCCAAAAATGCAAAAAAAACTAGGAGGGAATGACCGTCTGCGAGGCAAACAATATCAGACAGCCAACGTCGAAAAAGTCCCTCCAAACAGTGTCCTGCTGCGCCCGTTACACTAACGGCGTCGGCCTGCTCCCCCCCGCAATCAGCAGGCCCCTCGCGCAGTGACAGTGCGCTCTCTGGCACGCCGGCTCATCCCACAAGCACAAAGCAGGCGGCCCCCCAGACTCCAGACGTCGGCAACCATCTCCTCGATCGCGGCTTCTCTAGCTCTCACACGTCCTTCCCCACTCTTCTCACTCCAATCGCGGGGAGAAATGCACATCCTGCTCGCAGTCGCAGGGCTCCAGCGACGATCCACCAGGCTGGCGCAGTGCAAAAGGCGCAAAAGGCGTGGCAGCCTGCAGCGAACACGCGGCGGCAGACACACAGCGGCGGCAATGGCGCCCGGTTGCTGTATCGCATCTTGGGAAAAAATGGCGCCCGGTTGCTGTGTTGCATTCAAAATGGCGCTCGGTTGCTGCGTCGCATTCGCGCGCCAAATGGCGGAAATGCTGCAGCCGCGGAAAATGGCGGGAACCGCCGCAGTGACTCGACGGCGGTCGCATCCTCCTGCAGCTCCACTGTCGACTCGCCAACACCCAGCCACTCCCTCGACGTCAGCAGCTGGTCGAATCGCCTGGCGATGTTGCCCCAGCTCTCCATAGATGGTGGCCAATCAGGGCCCACAGCCTCCTCCCGCGCAGGCTGCAGTTGCGCCCCCCCCTCCCTCCCGGGCACAACAACGGGGCCCTGGACCTCGGGGTCGTCGCGGGGAGAGCTCTGATGCAGCCCTCATAGTCCATCCGCTCCACTGGTTAGTTATTGCACTCCACTGCCGGCTTTTACGCGATGCCAGCGAAGGGTTTCAGCTTCCTTGAAACTAAGCAGTTCTACTCTTATGAAGGTTTGACGGCCACTTCCGACACCAGGAGACTTGTAGAACCGGACAAATATGAGGATTCTTACTTAAGGCTACACTCACTGGTTTTAACACTTTTTGCACTCGACACTTACACCCCTCATGGTGACATCAGAACTTTGTCCTAAGCAGACATCCCTTCAGCTATCTACACCCCGGTGCAGCTCCCCTTTGTCTACCCCCTCGTCTGCCTGGGTGGGGGTTCATCCATCGCCGACCAGCGATGAGGTGAGACCTCTACATCTCTCGCCCTTCTTCAATGGCTGGGATCTCGTCCACGCAGGCTCTCGTTCCTCTCCCAAAAGCGACGACTTCACTTTCCCTACGGCGACCCCGCTGTAGGGAAAGTGGGGGGAGAGGGGGCGGGGGATAAAGTGGGACCCCGTAGCAGCACCTGAGTGACATGGAGAGAAATCAAAAAAATTAACCCGTAAAAACTACGTTTTTCACTCTAAATCCTTTATATGCGTGGCGGCTAGAGTCTTCTCGTCCTCTGGCTTGAGATGGCTGCCACCTATGGGTCAGATGATTGTCTGCCAGCATTAAGCAATTGGTAATTAACTATTTTTAAAAAATTCCCTAAATAGTGTAAAATTTTGGAAAAAAATGTTCACGAAAATTAATTGTCACGCTCAACGAGTCTGTGTGGAAAATGTCAGCTCGATTGGATCACGGGAAGTGGGTTAAAAATTAACCCGTAAAAACTAAGTTTTTCACTATAAATCCTTTATATGCGTGGCGGCTAGAGTCCTCTCGTCCTCTGGCTTGAGATGGCTGCCACCTATGGGTCAGATGATTGTCTGCCAGCATTAAGCAATTGGTAATGAAATATTTTTTTAAAAAAAATCCCTAAACAGTGTAAAATTTTGGAAAAAAAATTTCACGAAAATTAATTGTCTGGCACAACGAGTCTGTGTGCAAAATGTCAGCTCGATTGGATCACGGGAAGTGGGTTTAAAAACGACCGAAAGATTTGCACGGTCGTAAGCAAGCAAGCAAGAACGCAAGCAAGCGAACTTAATATAAAGGATTTAAAAAACGACCGAAAGATTTGCACGGTCGTAAGCAAGCAAGCAAGCACGCAAGCACGCAAGCAAGCAAGCGAACTTAATATGAAGGATTTAATAAGTATAACCCGTAAAAACAAAGTTTTTCACTATAAATCCTTTACATGCGTGGCAGCGAACTTAATATAAAGGATTTAAAAAAATATTCGCCCGTGGAGGACGCGGGGGTCGATCCCGCGACCTTTGGCATGGGAAGCGAGGGCGCTACCAACTGCGCTACTCCGCCACGGCCTGCGGAGGGGTTACGCTCTGGGCTCTTATACTGTGACTATCAGCCAAAGCGATGAATGAGTTTTATTTGAATATATGTACAATAATTTTTTTTTGCCTAAAAAGTGTAAAATTTTGGGAATTTTTTTTCACGAACATTAATTGTCTGGCACAACGAGTCTGTGTGGAAAATGTCAGCTCGATTTGATCACGGGAAGTGGGTTAAA